GGTTTAGGGGTTTGGGGTTTGGGCTTAGGGCAGCAACAACTTACATGTTGTGAGCATGTTACTGTGTGTCGGAAAGGACTCGGGGGAATTAAGTTTTTGTCTTCGTTTATGCCATATCACCACTCCACCACCCCCCTCAACAAAACAAAAAACTAATTCCCACGACTCGACTTCTTTTTACGTCATATCACCGCTCCACCAAATTTCCCATGACTCGGTAGAAGAATCGCATCTCAAACCACCACTCCACAACCATAAGAACAACTGACTTCCCTGAAAGACTTCATTCCCACGGCTCAGGGGAATTAAGCTTTTGGAATGTCACATCACTACTCCACCATCCCCAAAACAAAATTTATTCCCACGGCTCGGAATTAAGATTTTTGTCGGCTCGCAAATCACCATCCACCACCAAAAACAACTTGTTTTCCTACGGCTCGGAAGATTCCCTGGCAAAGAACATGAATTCCTTAACAAACAAAGTTTACTTCTCCAGGCTCGTGGGAATTATTTTTTAACGACCTAGGCAGCGATTTGTGCTCCGCGCATCAAAATTGATGGGTTTCTGCTTGGCAACCCCAATGTGTTTGTATATAATCCAAACACCACCAGAAAAAAGACATCAACAATGATCATCGTTTACCAAAATCAATGCATATACATCGGTTGCAAGAACTCAATACCCCGGACCCGGCAGAATTACGCTTTTTTTGCAAGGGAATCAAGATGTTTGCAAGGGAATCAATTTGTTGGGGCGTGGTGGAGTGGTGATATGACATCGAGGAGTGGGCATCAAGTCTGCTTTTTGGGGTGGTGGAATTGGTGATATGATATCCAAAAGACATAATTCTTCATTTTGCAACTGAATTAAGTTTTGCAAAGATTTTTCTTTTCCATGGGAATTAGGTGTGTTGCAAAGGAATTGATTTTTTGCATAAGAATCCAGCAGTTTGGCGGGAATTGAAGCTTTGAGCTGGGAATTAAGGTTTGGTACAGAGCAATAAGGACTTGAGCAAGGAATTCAGGCTTTGAATGGGCATATACCAGGGCAGTGCAGGGCAACCCAAGGATGGGGCACGTTAGACATGGGCTGAGTGGTACGTTAGAGCATAATGGTTGTACTCTCTCCAAACCCAAAACGCTAAACCGTAGGAGTAAGAAGGGGCCCTGCAGAATAGTCTTCTATGGGCTCCGCGAGTCTTCCGTCGAAGATTCCCCAAAAGGTAAAGCTGTTTTGTTTGAACTCCTTTTGCCTTTCCCCTCCTTAGTCAAATGCAAAGCTTTGGAGTTTAGGGTTTAGGGTGAATAGACTAGACCCACCCCTGGCAGAGGTAAAATTCAATCCTACCTGTAGAACAGCTAAGGTACGAATATCCCGATCTCCGTAAGGGGTCGGTTTCAATACTGACTGTTTTTCCTGAACCTGCCCTAAACCCTAAACCCTAAATCCAACTGTCAAGCCCAAAGTCGATACTTATCCAATACCTTAAGGAATAGGCCCAACCCCCAAACCCACACACATGCGCACGAAAACAAGAAATCTACACCCACAACTCAAAACCGAAAAACCTTTGATGTCCATCTTCTTGATTCACATGGGGGTTTCCGAAAATAGGGGCCCCTAATATAGCACCCTAAATAATAGGATCCTTATTATAAGGACCCCTGAATACGGTACCCCCTATTTTCGGAAACTCCCATATCACCATCCTCGGCCTCCTGAATCCAAGAATCACTCGCAAGTCTGCTAGCAACCGGTAAGGATCTAGGTTTAAGGTTTAGGGTTTAGGTTTAAGGTTCGGGGTGTCGGGTTTAATTAGGGTCCAGGGTCGGCAAGACACCAGTATGAAAGCGAGGGCCTATATCGTAAGCCCATAACCCGCGACCCTCCTAAGCCCCAACAACTCTAGACCCAAACATCACAAGTCCGAAATCGCACACCTCAAAACCACACGCGACCAACATCTTACATCGCTGACAATAAAGAAATCACGCCTCTCCGACTTCTACATCTGCGTCGTTCATCTCTCCATCCAGAGGCTCCTGTGCAAGGACCACTCTCTCAAGTCTGCCAATCGCCGGCAAGGCTTGAAATCCTTCGAAACCCTAAACCATGAAGCGGTGAAGCCCTTAAGCCGGAAACACTCTAAACTTAGGGCAACACTGCTTGTGTGCCTCCAGGGTTCTTACCCCTAGAAACAAGAGCTAAAACATAGGGCCGAAGGGCTACGGCTGGGGGTTTGGCATTGAAGGACTTGGGATTCAGGGCTTAGAGCTTGGGCTTTACGGTACCCTACCCCCCGTTGGCTAGTGTCGAGAAAAGTGAACTAGCTGTCTTGCTCTAAATATGGCAGATGTGCAGAAGTGTGCAGATAGAAAATTTGTTGATTTCATCCTTGTTCACGTCACCGGCTGCAGGATGTCTAATTCCCCGAAAACTTAAACTCCATAAAAATTCCCGAAACTTATACTCCATAAACTGCAAATCCAAACACCAACCCCTAAACCCAAACCCTGTAAAGCTACGAACCCTACATCCAAGATCAGCAGCTCCTTGGTCGCTTCTTGGACCGGTTTCTTCTTGTTTTTCCTCGCGTCTTTGCCTTTGCATTGCTACCACACATGGCTGCCGTGTGGGAGTCGCAGAGCTAGACACAAGCGGTACCCGGCACAGTAGAAGCAACAGCAGCAGGAGGAGTAGCACGAGCCGTCGTCGTGGTAGTCGTAGTGGTCGTAGTAGTCGTCGTAGTCGTAGTCGTCGTAGTAGTAGTAATAGTAGTAGCAGTTGTAGTAGTAGTAGTAGTAGTAGCAGCAGCAGCAGCAGTAGTAGTAGTAGTAGTAGGGCGAAGGACGGGAGGGTTGGTGTGGGCTTGGTATCTTGGGGAAATCATAAAGCAGAGTGCTTTGCGACCTCTACTTCAAGAGAACCAGGCATAGCCATTAGGTTGTATGCTTGAGCTTGTAAGGTTTAAGACCCGAAGCCCCAACCCTAAACTCGTAATGGAGCCACTACAAGGTCCGCTCGGTGTGGACGTGACCGTTGGCCGCCATCGCTTCGATATCCTTTTGCCCACTGGATGTCCTCCCACGTCGCCGTCAGTTGCTGGGTGCTGTCACGACGAGTCTAGCCGCACAGGGTTGTTGTTAGAAGCTGGGCCGTGTGCCATGTGAGTCACGAACCCGAACGTGGGAACGGAGATTACGAGCCGTAACAGCAGCATCCCTAATACAGCTATCGTACTGTGCATGCATGAGCCGTTCCTTGGCCCACTCGGTGTGGCGCCTGGCCTGACAGATTTTTGGCCGCAGTGCTTTCCGTAGCCCCAAGGTGCCGTAATCCCTCAATGTCTTCAGTCATGAGAATTTATGCTACAATAGAAGGTACGTGGAGGACTTATAAGACCTCAGAATCAGGTAAAGTGTCTCCACGATGGTAAAGCTCCTGCCGCCTGAAGCTGCTGGTAACAGGGTTTAGGGTTTAGGGTTTAGGGTTTTTAGGGTTTAGGGTTTAGGGTTTTTAGGGTTTAGGGTTTAGGGTTTAGGGTTTAGAGTTACAGCAGAACCCCCTGTGAACTGAAATCACGGAACCCTGGGCCCTATAATCGACACTACCCGAACCGACCAAACCCTCTCTTTTGGCAGGCTCCCTAGAAGATCTATATAAAGGCTTGCAAGAAGAACCTACCAAAGAATAGGTTTCCGTTCCGTTGAGCTAGGATAAAGCCGCACTGAGCAAAGGGTCTTCGGGACTAACACTACAACGCTTGTGGAAGTAGCAGAAACAGGGAGAGGTTTTTGTAGCTTATTCTAGGACATTTTCAGGTGGGTAATTACCGTTATAGGAGCTTTATAGGAGGTCTATATACCTTATAGAAGCCTTATAGAAGCCCTTTATACCGTAAACTCCCCACCTGTAGTTTCCTTTAACCCTAAACCCTAAACCCTAAACCCTAAACCCTAAACCCTAAACCCTAAACCCTGAAGACTCCACTGCAGCCCAAGACACTTTGAGATGCTTTGGCATCTTTGGCCTGACTCATGCTCTTGGGTTTTACCTTCCCAATGCGTCCGATGTACCTATACGGGTTCCTTTAGGGGTTTAGGGTTTATGTTACGGGGTTCCTATGTACATATGCAGTAGATTGTAGGGTTTCTCTATCATAGGATTTACGATTCTGATTTAGGGAAATGTAGCCCATAATAGTACATGGGTCTCTTTGGGCTTAACACCAAAAAGCCCTAAGCCCTAAACACTACTATTTGTCGAAGGCTTCGAGTTTAGGGTTTAGGGTTCACCTGAAACCCCAAGGAACCTACCGTTTCAAGGATAGTCACTTAGTCGTCACTGTAGTTCCTGATTTGTTTTAGCCAGCAGTCAATATTTAGGATCCTTTAATGTACCCCTAGACGGGAACTACACTGGCGACTTAGGTAGATAAGAAAGGAAACCAAAATAAACAAGCCTGAAACATGTAGGTCTCACAGGCTCCAGGTAGGTTTCAGGATTAGTTCACCATGCAAATGGCACAGAAATAAAAACCCTAAGCCCTAAACGCTAAACGGGCTGCGGCATGACGACGTGAGGATGGTGGACACGAACGAGCACCTGATAACATAGCGAAGCAGCTTAATGATTGAGTCCTGTAGGTCCTGACAAGCCCTAAACCCTAAACGTTAAGTCCTTTTCCCTATCTGGATCCTACAAAACCTACCTGTTCAGGGATCCTTATTACATTATGATTTCTTTCTATAACTCCTTGAAAAGGTAGGTTCTTGGGGGTTAAGGAATAACATATAATCCTATATCCTGCAACAAGAACCTCTTTAACTAAATACTACCCTGAGCAGAAAAGTTGAGTTCTCCAAATCTTGAACCTACGGTTTAGGGTTTCGGGTTCGGGTTTAGGGCTTACTAAACCCTGAACCCTAAACCGCGGTTTGAGGCAAAACCTATGCCAAACTTGGTAGATTTGAAGATGGAAGACCGAATCATCTTGCCGAATTTAGCGCTGCCCTGAATACAGTTGTGATATCCTAAACGAAGGGTGGACGCTGGCTCCCGACGTACCCCTACAACCTAAACCTACCTTAAACTCCGAAGCCCTCAAACCCTGAACCCTAAACCCTCAATAACCCTGAACCCTAAATAACAAATAACCCTAAACCCTAAATAACCACAAAACCCTAATCCCTAAACCCTAAACCCTAAACCCTAAACCCCCTAGACTGCGCTCCTGGGGCTTCTCCTTTCTTGCAGCCTCTGCTTGCTGCTTCATCTCTTCAGCGTACTCCTCCATCTCTCGGCAGACCTGCAGGCAGAATCTGAGCAATCCCAAAGGGTCCAAGTACTAGTATAGTATATACTTTGGGGCCCAAATACCTACTAAGTACCTACTAGAACCCCAAGGGTCCATATATACTACCATTATGGAATTAGGCCCCCAAAACCCTAATATGAATGGTCTTTTGGGACCTAATTCCGTAATGGTAGTATATATGGACCCTCTGGGTAATGGTACTTGGACACTTTGGGAATGAACCACCCTCCCTGACAAAGGGAGCCTTGCACCCCGAATCTCTGAGCCTCTCAGCCCCAAAACTCGAATTAAGCGCCCTGAACTCTGAACCCTATGAACCCTGAACCCTCGCCCTAAAACCGCAAAAACGCCTCCGAACTGTAAAGCCCCAAAGATACGGAAGAAAAACAAACAAACAATAAACAACGCAACAAAACAACACCCTAAACCCTAAACCATAACAATCCGACAATCCGACGTGCCTGTCGGCCCTGCAGTCACTACGCGGAAGCTCCCTTGCAACTGCCTTTAACTGCACGAGTACCCAAAGGCTCCAAGTAGACTACCATTATGGAAGTAGGTCCCAAAAGACCATCCTTATTATGGTCTTCAGGGCCTAATTCCGCAATAGTAGTATATGTGGAGCCTCTAGAGTATATACCCAAAGGGTCTTAAGTACCTATACAGTAGACTGTATATTGGAATCACCAGTCTGAACTGGGAAAGTATCCCCAATCCAATAGGCCCCTTTCGCATAGGTTTTGGGGGCTTGGGCTCAGTGTTTTTATGGCTTGGAACTTAGGGCTCAGGGATTACAAGCGTAGAGGCTACAAAGATACTTTGACTATCAGCCCATTACCCTAAACCCTAAACCCCTAAACCCTAAACCCCTAAACTCTAAACCCCTCAACCCCAAACCCCTAAACCCCTAAACCCTAAACTCCCATGGCCTCGTCTAGGGCATCCCGGAGCGCTCTCGCCTTCTTGAGGCAAAGAAGAGAAGGAGTTGGGGTTTAGGGTTTAGGGGTTTAGGGTTTAGGGGTCTAGGGGTTTAGGGTTTAGGGTTTAGGGTTTAGGGGTTTAGGGATTTAGGGGTTTAGGGTTTAGGGGTGTTTAGGGTTTAGGAGTTTAGGGTTTAGGGTTTAGGGGTTCAGGGGTTTATTGTTGCATATAAGGTGTGCGGCTTAGGATTTAAGAATGCCCTGAGTTTGGTCTATGGGATGCGGGGCTGGGGGAGTAGGGCTCGGAAGCCTAGCCATGCGAATCATTCGGAGGCATTCAATAGTCTACTATAGTGAGCGGGGGGGCTT